CCACGCGTTGCTGTGGCTCACTCTAACGAAATATTTCAATTCAAACGCAGATCAATCGACACAGCTCAATCCCACCGCCAATTGCACTGAAAAATAAGGAAAACAGGTAAGAAAATGAAATGAAAAACAATGAAAAATAAACTATACTCACGAAAGGAACGCTATGGTAAACGACACAGCCCAATTCCAACGCAATGTCACACGAAATAATTAAATCAAAATGAAAATAAATCGAAACTGTTTACATTCGGCGGTAGCTATCCCAAGACTGACTCCTTCGGCGGTTACTTCCAGACGCTCTTCTGTATCCCTCGGCATCTGCCCCGAGACTGACTGCTTCTTGTCCAAGCTGGACTATTTATACCTCGGCGGATGCTATACAATGAGCCTTCTGTTGTCTATCACCGGGGAAACGCTTGGTTTCATCCGTTGTTTCGCAACGGAACCTCTTATCCTCTCTTCTGCGGGGGAAACGCGTTTGTTGTTTCGGCAATCCCTATGCAACGGCCCACTGTTATTGCGTTTCCATGGAAGTATACTTTCCGGATTCACGCTTGGCCGGGTACAGCTAGTAGGTATATAAAAACACGCGCGCATTCGAATGCAACGTTATGTCAAAATTTCAAAGCAATCGGTGAAGAACTTTCGAAGATCTTCGACGGGTAACAAACCAACATTTACGTTTTTATTTATATAGATTTTCTTCCTAAGCTTTTATTTTTGTTTCGTGGAAATCAAGAGTCCAGATAAACATCATACGTGGAACTGAATTAATCACCACCAAATTATTTACCCTGATGACTCTTTTCCCCGCTCAAAACCCAGCGGGTGTTCTCCGCGGGTCTGCATTTTGTAAACAACAGTCTGCCTCAAGTAAGAAACAACGGGATATCATTACCATGAAGATCACTAACGGTGGCACGCGGCGGCGCGGTTGGTTGAGGCACTATGCTACAAGCCGGAAGATCACGGGTTCGAGTCCCTATGAGGTGGATTTTTTCAATTGACCTAATCTTTCCAGTCGCACTATGGTCCTGGGGTCGACTCAGCCTCTAACAGAAATTAGTAGCAGGAATATTCCTGGGGGGTAAAATGCGACCGGTGTGTGAGGCTGACAACCTTACCGCCATCTGTGAGCCGATTTTCTGGAGGAAATGTGGGAGTCTCGACGTCTCACAAACCAATGGGCTTTCACGGCCTGTTTCAGGGATAGATTTACTTTTTTTTTACCTTTAACATGTTCTTAGACTAATGATGGACAATAATATTTCTTCTGCCTAAACTTTACAAGCACGATTTCTTTCCTGACATAATAAATTTCAGTTCCCACAAAACACATTGGCAATTCGAGTTACTTTTGATACGACATGGCAGTATATAGATGGTCTTTAGACTGTTATCTTCATTAAACGTGTGATGCTTTGTTTTACATGGCTGACTTGTGTTTTTGGTGGTTTCACTACATTTACTACTTTATATTGAATTGTTTGGAGTTGTCATCCACGGTTAGTAAGCTACAGCAAGGGCATGCTGATCAAAAAGGGATTGTATTGTACATTTTCTTATATATTGTTTTGTACAGTTTAAAGTGTTGTTGACGTGTAGTGTGTGCTGTTTTCAATTGACTTGTCAAATTGTGCTTGTGTAACAGTTATGGACGTTATAAATTATCATTGTCAATATCTGCATTACGAAGACCGATAGGTTAATGCTGATTAAGGAAATAATCGATGTTTGAGAAATATATCGCACGCACAAACAAACTTGGAGCGCAAAATACAGAAATTTTAATTTTAAAACAGTCAGTACTACAGAGGCAACAGTTGCTAAGAAGAAAACATTCCTACTGAGT